CACTGTAACCCTTTTTCACTCTGCTCCCCTACACTGTTACCTACACACACACACTCCTACCACACGGTCACCCTCACCTGTCTCTGCGTGTATGTGTATCTGAGTGTCCTTTTGTGTCAGTGTGTATCTGTTTACAATAGTGTATGTGTATCTGTGTGGGGGAAAATAAGTGTCATTGTGTGTGTGTGTGTGTGTGTGTGTATCGCTGTGTCAGTATGTGTGTCTATGTATGTGTGTATTTCTGTGTCTCTGTATGTTTATACACTGCACACATACTCCATACAAAAAACATGCTTACATCCAAACACACATTGTGTATGTATATTTTATATACACAAAATACACACACTGCATCCACTACACACGAACTGCAATTAAACGCAAACATTACATACAAACACACCTCTGTATTAAAACACTAAAATGATATACAAACACCCCTTCATTCAAACACCAACACTACACCCAAAAAGCACACCTGCATTTAAAGTCCAGCACTACATTCAGACGCAAACATTACAAACAAGTACACCACTACATTCCAATGGCAACAGTACATACAAATACTCCCATACATGCACACATATACTTAAAGGACCACTATAGGCACCCAGACCACTTCAGATTAATGAAGTGGTCTGGGTGCCAGGTCCATATAGGATTAACCCCGCCTGCTGTAAGCATAGCAGTTTCAGAGAAATTGCTATGTTTACAAATGGGTTAATCCAGTCTCTAGTGGCTGTCTCATTGACAGCTGCTAGAGGCGCTTCCGTGCTTCTCACTGTGATTTTCACAGTGAGAAGACGCCAGCGTCCATAGGAAAGCATTAAGAATGCTTTCCTATGGACTGGCTGAATGCACGCACGGCTCTTGCCGCGCATGCGCATTCAGCCGATGACGGCCAAAGGAGAGGGATCCTGGCGCTGGAGAAAGGTGAGTTTTTAACCCCCTTCCTCTCCCTTCAGCCCGGCGGGAGTGGGACCCTGAGGGTGGGGGCACCCTCGGGGCACTTTAGTGCCAGGAAAACGAGTTTGTTTTCCTGGCACTATAGTGGTCCTTTAATATTAAACATGCTTACATTTAAACGCTCAAACACTACTCACAAATATAACCCTGCAACGATGGGCAAATGGTAGATTCCCAGCTGGCATAGCATTGTTGAAGTTCTCCGACAGATGGAGATCTACCTTTTTGGCCACACTTGCACTAGAGGGGGACCCAGAAAGCATACTTGCACCAGGGCCCTCTCTACATTAGTTCCACCACTGGGATAATCAATGTGAGGTGCCTGGATGAGCAGGACACAGAACGTCTGATTCTGACTGTGAGTCTGAGTAAGCAGTTGTATGCCGCTAAAACTGATTGCCATGATTTGCAAAGTTTCTGCCTCTAAAACTCCATGATATGTCAACATTATGCATCTAAAACTGCCATGATATGCCAAATTATGCCTCTAAAGCTGCCATGATATGCCAGTTTTATGCATCTAAAGCTGATTACCATGGTGTGCCAATTGCATGCTTTTAAAACAGATTGCCATGGAGTGCCAATTTAATGCATCTGACTGTTTGCCAATTGTGTGCCTCTGAAGCATACACACCTCCCCTGGCTGTGACTAACACAGCCTGCACGAAAGCATGAGGACGTGCAGCGTCAGATAACAGACCAAAAGTCCATTTGGATTCCGGAAGCGCCCCCAGTAGCTGTCTGGTAGACTTAGTGCTGCAATGTAAACACTAGGTGCAAAAGGGACACTGCACCCAGATCATTTAAATGAGCTGAAGTGGTCTGGGTGCCTACAGTGTCCCTTTAAACTTTTCAACAGAATGCTGATGAATTTTGTTTATAAAACGGTGGTGGGTAGTTTAGTTTCTAAAGTGAGAATTGACAATAGAAACAAGATAATTGCAAATTTGTGGACAAATTTTAAAGTGTGAATTTTTGTAAATTCTGACTTTAGGCCAAATAGCTGAACTAAGCATATTCTTTGGTGATTTTAAGTAGTCATGGTGCCTATAATCTGTATGTGATTTGAAGTGCTGTACATACAGAGATTCACCCCTCTGCTGGTTTAACTCTACTACCGACCGCATCATGATTGCAAAGAATTCTGTATAAGCCAGAAGCACGTCACTGGACCACCAGGGAGCATTGGAGCTCTGGAAGGACCCATGTAAGGGGCAAAACGTTGCTAAACAGTTTGCTCTATTACCAGGGAAACCAGAGCAGGGTACATACGATATAATAATCTTTGCATCATGCTGTAGTGGTTATGATGCTTAGAATAACCCTTTTAGTGAAAATTGCCAAGAAGTGAATTCCGAATTTAGGTCAAAATAGAGATTATAAAAATTAAAAAAAAACATCTCCAAGTGAATTCTCAAATGGCATTGTAACCCTCCTTTGCGAAATGAGTATGTCATAAAGATAACATTTTTATGAAAAACTCATTGACTGTAGAATTTCAGTGACATTTCAACGCAGTCAAAAGATGTTCTGAGACATGGTAAGGACTACTTTGTCTCAGTATTTTTCCTAGGCTTGTCACTGGGCGATGCCGTCATGCCTTGTCAATCCCCAGTGTCGGCTTCAGGGAAATTAGCTCGATCTATGAAGGATCCTGCGGCCTTGTGGGTTACTCCATTGACCTCGCTGCTGTACTCTCGAGCATGTGCGAAAGTACAGCAATGACGTTGGCTTGTGGCAACTGAAGCGCCGGAAGCAGAAGACGACCGTCACGCAGACAATGGTTTAGGTAATTAAAACTCTGTTATTCCCTAGGAGTCTGGGAGTGATATAAATGTATATATCTCACACACACTCCTACGGTATAAGTTTTTTTCTGTTTTTCAAGTTTGAAGTTTTTATGATTTTGTTTTTTTCTTCTTTCCTTACGTATACAGAAGGCAAGGAAAGGGTAAAATGTTGCAGAGCACAAAATGTTCTTATAAATCTGCAGATTTACTGGTGATAACTTCTACCTGGTTATTTGATCACTTCTATTTCCTGTTTTAGAAAACAGCCAATGTTTAGCGATTTATTTTTTTAATTTTTTGCCAAGCAGCAATTAAAATCTTATATGACACATCCCCGAATTTGCAGGAGCATCAACATTTACTCATTTTCAAATGTCCCTTAGTTGTATGGGCAACCAGTTTTTGTTCTTTGTTTTATTTTTTGCATGGTTCTAGCAAGATTTGCCGGCCCACCATATGCGTATCAAGCCACCAGTGAGCATTTAGCTTTTCCAACATTTGTTTACTTTTCCTAGTATATCTGCAAACAGATACCATTGATACGTCAGTTTTTATCTAAGTGGTGTGAACAGCTGGTAAGACCCTCCTGTACGGACAAGGTTCTACAAGATACTTTTTCAACGATGGCATCACTACCAACTACCTCTGCCATGCTTCTACAAATGTATATTCTGTGGAGGGGTGGATAATGTGGATTTAAATGCAGCCCTGTAGAACAGTGATGGCGAACCTATGGCACGCATGCCCTCTCTGTCGGCACGCGGCCATAGGTTCGCCATCAATGCAGAGTAGGCACCTGCCTGCCCGAAACGGCAGGCGCCTACTCTGCTTCCGGGTCGGGAGGCAGGGGGAGGGATCTGTGAAGCAGCTCCCCTGTCCTCCCGCGAGCAAGTTGTGTGGAGCGTTGCCGCGCGTTACCATGGCAACGCTCCACACAGCATCGCGTGGGAGGACAGGGGAGCTGCTCCCTACAGAACTTACCACCACCGGACTACAGAACTGTACAGAACTGTGTCCCCCCCTCCTTCATTAAAGGTAGGAAGGAGGGAGGGGGGGATACTGATGTCACATACTTTTTTTTTTTTTTTTTTTAAACACAGTACCCCTACCCCCCACAGTACCCCCCTACCCCCACACACCCCCTACCCCCACACAGTACCCCACCCCCACACAGCACACCCCTACCCCACACAGTACCCTACCCCCCACACACAGCACCCCTACCCCCACACACAGCACCCCCTACCCCCCACACAGTACCCCCTATCCCACACAGCACCCCCATTCCCCACACAGCACCCCCTACCCCCCACACAGCATCCCCTACTCCCCACACAGCATCCCTACCCCCCCACACAGCACTCCTACCCCCACACAGCATCCCTACCCCCCACACAGCATCCCTACCCCCACACAGCATCCCTACCCCCCACACAGCATCCCTACCCCACACACACACCCATACCCCCAATAACACACAGTACCCATACCCACACACACACAGTATCCCTACCCCCAGCCACCACAGTGCATCCCTACCCCCCACACAGTATCATCCCTACCCCCACACCACAGTATCCCTACCCCCTACCACAGTATCCCTACCCTCCCACACACACACAGTACCCCTACCCCCTCCCACACACACAGTACCCCAACCCTCCCACACACACACAGTACACCTACCCTTCAACAAACACACAATACCCCTACCCTCCCACACACACATAGTACCCCTACCCTCCCACACACGCAAGGTACTCCTACCCCCCACACACACAAGGTACCCCTACCCCCACACACACAGTATCCCTACCCTCCCACACA